GCAGGGGCCCCACCCTGGCCTGAGCATACTGGACCCTGGCCTTCTGGGCTCCTGGTCCCTCGGTGCTGATGCCCGGGTCTGGGAGAGTCTCCTCCGCACCGCCGTGACCTTCACGCCTGACTTGCCCCTTTAGAGTTCCTCCCGCCCGAAGACTGGCAGCTGCCAGAGCAGCTCGGTTTGTGAAATGTCAGTGGTTTAATATCAATTCTGGAGATTTTATTGCCTTTCCCCCCTGTTTTCCAATGGGATTTTGATCCAATCAAGGCCGATCCAGAGTGACGGCAGATTTGTGTTCCCGTCCGAAGTTGACAAAAGGTCACTCTGCCTGGGGAGCCAGGGGCTGTCTTGGCTTTGCATGCATGTGATTGCTCTCTCATCCTCTGGGCTCTGGAGTCGGGCCACGGCTTTCCTCCAGGAGAGCTGTTTCAGGTGGGTATGTTTCCTGCTCCCCCCAGGGCCTGTTGACTGGACCCAGGCACCTGGGGATTTAAACTCGGGCAGTAGCCAGCCACAAAATGCCTTCGTTTTGTTTGCAAAACATCTTTGATGCTTCAGACCTAAATTAATTTTTCACAGTAATGTTTCAAAATGTCATTTTTCCCTTTCCAAGGGCGGAAAAATGCTGTTGAATAAGGTTCTCTGTTTGGGAAGAGGTGTGAGGCTGGGGAGAGACCAGGCCCCCAGCCACACTGGCCTGTGCCCTGTTCCTCCTCTCTCCGCTCAGCTCCCTGCTGTCCCCAGAGAACAGGACACCGGTCCTGCTCATTTCAGGTCAGGGTGCTGGCAAGGGTGCAGAACCGGGTGTGAATTTTTGTCAAGTTCTGATCTTGCTCTGTGGCACTTTAGAGAAGTGGCATTCAGAGTTTCAACCCAGCCTGGCAAGCCTTTCCAGAGTGCCTGGTGGGTGTGTGGCTCACAGTGGGCTCTGCAGGTGGGTCAGGAAGGGCAAGCCTGGACAAGGAGGAGGAGACTCTGGTGGGCTCTGTGTTTGTGGAGCTCCCGGTGGGGGTCCTTGAGAGCACTGGCCCCACAGGATGGCAGCACTGCGGCCTGTGCCCAGGCATGGCTCCTGGAACCCCCAGCTGGGGACAGGTGGGAGGAGACCATGGTGGCCAAGTTGAGGGGAAGGAAGGGCAGTGGGCGGTACATTTGTGCAAGGTGACAGAGCTTAGGGTGACAGCTGGGGTGCTTCATGGTGAGAGTGGCAGAGTGCACCTGGAGTAAACCAAAGGGGCATGGCTCTCCACACTCCTGCATCCCCATCTCTGGACAGGGGAGGGGCTGGGAGGGTGGCACCCTTGGGGCCTTCCATCAGGCATTGCCATCCTCTGTCACTGTGTGGTTTGCACACACGTCCTGCAGCAAGACGCCTGTCCCCTCAAAGACTATCTGGTGTAGGCACACTCTCCAAATGAGCCCAGCCTTCTACCGAATCCCTTTTTCCAGGACCTGGGGTCCCAGGGGTGTGACCTCAGGGCACAGGAGGTGGGCACCTGCAATGTTTATGTGCACTGACAACACATTTGCAGGGAGGAGGTGTGTGTGTGTGTCCACACATGCACAAGTGTACCTATTACAGATGGTGTAGCTCTCATATGCGTGCAGATGGCATGCCTGTGCCCAGACAGCATGCCCTCCGTGTGTGTGTTTGTGTGTGTGTGTGTGTGTGTGTGTGTGTGTGTGTGTGTGCAGAGACAGCATTTGCTTGCAGGGACAACTGGTGTGGCAGACAGCATAGATGTGTGTAAGTGGTGTGCATATGCCCAATGTGTGCACAAATGGTGTGTATGCATGTGGAGTGTATGCGTGCAGGCTGGTGTGTCACACATGAAGGCTGGGTGGCAAGTTGCAGCCAGGTGGCTGGCTGGGCCTCCTGCTTGCCTCCTGTGGGCATGAAATGGGAAGCAGGAGACCCAGATTTTCCCACCCTCTTCAATGTCTCCTTCTCCCCGTTCCTCTCCCCCTCCTCCTCCATCCTCCTTAGTCCTCCTCCCTCCCCCTTCCTCCTCCCTCTCCCCGTCCCTCCTTCTACTCCTCCTCCCTCCTCCTCCCTCTCCCCCACCCCTCCCTTCTCCTGCCTGGCTGCTCTGGGTGGGTGAGTGGATGGGGACTCTGGGCAGGCTGCAGTCCAATACCTCTCTTCAAGGTGCGAGGTCTGAGGCCATCCGGGGCCCAGGCAGAACTGCAAAGGGCAAAGGGACTGGTGGGGATCACTGGGGAGAGGGGAGGACTGGGGCAACTGGTGCTCTCATGCCCCACCTAGAGGTGGCCCGATGCTCCAGTGTCTCTAGTGAAGGTAGCAATCCAGGTTTCTACGCAGGATCTAATTTTTAAATGTTGGTTCCACCACAAAAATAAACCTCCGGGATCTGCAGCCTACACCCTGGCCCAGGGGTCCTGTTTGCCTCATGGGTTTAGCATGCTGGGGCCTCCGGGGCTCACCTCTTACCAGCCCCAGCCCAGCTGCAGCTGTCCTGGCAGGAGTCTGGTGGAGCCCTCTCCCTCTCCCAGCCAAGCCTTATCTGAAGCCCGTGGAGACATAGACAGAGGATTGGGCAGCTCCCTTGTGCACCCTCTAGGGATACTTGTGGGACTAGAGCTTCCTATGAGATATGGCCCTGTGGAGTTTTCAGACTCACCTGAGTTTTCCATCCATTTCAAGTTTGGATGAGGATGCTGTTCCTGAATCTGGCTCCCCCACCCCCACCCCAGTCCTAGATCTCTCACCTGCACTGGCTTTGGAGGGCTGGGGCCTGGTGCTGGTGTCAGCCAGGATCCACACCCTGTCACCCTCACAGCCTCCTTGTGTCTAGAATTCCTTTCCCTTTTACAGGTGAGGAGGCTGGGCTCACACACAGGAAGAAGGTGCTGGGCCATAGGTCCTGCCTTGCCTGCTTTGTCCCTCCCTTCTGGGCTTAAGAGCCCCAGGCTGGGGAGAATGAGGGCTTGTGTCATTCCAGGCCTTCTTGCAGAGGCTGACAGAGACCACCACCTACCTTTCTCTCCCCTTCCTCTGGGGCAGGTCTGTGTCTGTGTCCTCACTGTCCAGTCCTCCTCAGGCTGGGCCAGCACTCCATGCCTTTAGTGCAACGGCTCCCAGTGAGATACCTCAGTGCCTCAATGTTCTCAAGTGTAAGGGACACTTTTTAGTCCATATCTTGACCTTCTACACATTCTCTTCTTCCTGAAGCTCTAGCCTTGGCTTTTGTGACCGCAGCTCTTGGTTTCCCTCTTCCTGCACTGGCTGTCTTACCTGTCTACTGGCTGTGTTACCTGTCTTATAGGGGGCTGGCTGTCTTTGCCGAGTCACCGGGCATTGGAGGCTTGGCAGCTTGGGCCCAGGCCCTCTTCTCTGCCTCCACAGATGGAGGTGGTCCTCTGTGTGCACTTCCACATACATGTCACAAGGGAACCTGACCAGCCTGACCCTCTCCAAAGCCTGGTCCTCTATGAACCTGGTAGTTATCTCTGGCTTAGTAACTGGCCTGACCCTCCCTATAGCCTGGCAGGAGGGGTTTCAATGCCTTTCTCTCCGCTGCTCCCAGGGTGGGAGCAGCTTGTGATTTGACCTTTGGGATACCTCTCAGATTTATCCATTTCTCTTCATCTCATGAACCACCATCCCGACCTGGCCTCTGCCACCTCTTCCTGGATGATGCCTAGTTGTCCCATGGCCCCAGCACCTAGCACTTGCCTCCCACTTGGGAGAAGCCCTGTGAAAATTTCCTGGGGCTGTGTGCTGGAGGGCAGTCCTTCTGGTGCCCCCTTGGGGGTCTGTGGCTGCTGACCTCCGTCAGATGTGTCATTACTCAGGAACAAGAGTGATGTCCAGTGGCTTTACTCTCTGCATAATCTTCATTACCCTGCATTGTGTATCTACCCAGCGCCCAGCAGAGAGTAACCTGCAGTAAGCATTTCTTGAACAAACAAATGAGTGAAGGCGTAAATGTGTTTATGCCCCAGGAGAGAGTTACTAGTGTCATTCCCATCTTGCAGATGAAAGTCTGAGCTCTGGAGCAGTTTAGTGATACAGTCAGAGGACACAGTCCTGGTTCTAGGTGGAGCCAGGGTGAAGCCTGTTCCACCAGCCAGCAGAGGCCGCCAGGACTTGTCACTCAGTGGCGGGGGGGGGGGGGGCCCTCAGTCCCTCCCACCTTCCTTCCCTGTCGGGGGATCTCCCCTCGTAACATCTCAAATTGGGGGCTGTGTAGACACAGCTACTGGGTTAGTCAGTGCAGACTCTAGTGAGCAACTGGGTAATTATTTCCAAAAATATTGACTTGTAATGTGAGGCAAGCTCTTCTCCATGCCACCCGTCAGCAGAAAATTGCCTTTGGTATTAACATTTCAAGAACCGCATAATGTGAATTGATGTAAATGCATAATTAGATATAATAGCCTGGGAAAATTCACTCTTATTTATAAAATTGGGCTTGTTAAATTAAAATGGGAGCTAACGATTTCCATCTCACTCTTAAAACATGTCCGAGGCTTTGCCGCCTTGCTTTGCACAAGCCCTCTATCAGTAGGTGCCTGGGTATATCGACAGCTTTAGGGAGACTCTGGAGAGGGGACACCCTCTGAGGAGGCAGGGACACCACCTGTCCAAAAGGTGGCTCCCTAGTATCATAAACGGGCCTCTCAAAAACATTTTAATCAACATGCAACAAATGACAATCCCTGAGGAAAGATGGCTGGGTGACAATTTCCCCAGCCCTCATTCTTCTTGTAGAATGGGGAGCCAGCTCCCCTGCTGCACCCCAAATCTGAGGCTATTGTGAGGGGTGGGTACGATGCTGTGTGCAGGCACAGTGGAGTGCAGGAATGTGCTCTACAAATGCTAAGAATGTGCAGAGGGCAGCGAGGAAAGAAGACCTCATCATTGTCATCACTATCAATACTTTTTCATTCATTCAACAAGCTCCCATTAAGCATTCTACCCATGCCAGATCCTGTGCTTGGTATGGGGTGGACAGAGTTGGAGAAGATATGATTTCCTATCTTTTGGAGCTCACCATTTATCTGGGAAGACAGGAATTTAAACATGTCTTCATTTTGGTTGCAAGTGACAGAAAAACAATTCACACTACCTGAAACAAACAAAAAAGAGGTCTGTTGATTCACAGAACTGGAATAGATTTCAGGCAGAGCTTGATCCAGGAACTCTTGTTCTGTTTCTCTCCCTAGGCTCTTTCTCTGCACGTTAGCCTCATTCTCTCTACTCTTTAAGTTTCCACCCCCCAGTCCCCACATTGTGGAAGAAGGTGATACTGGCTTGCTGTTCACATTTATAGTTAATAGTTAATTTTTTCTAAAAGCTTATTTATTTATTTTGAGAGAGAGAGAGAGAGAGCAAGTGGTGGAGGGGAAGATAGAAAGGGAGTGAGAGAATCCAAAGCAGGCTCCCCACTGTTAGTGTTCAGAACCAGATGCAGGGCTCAAACTCTACCTTCTGAGCCAACAGGGCCATGAATAGCTGATCTTTAAGGGAAAAGCCTACAGCTCTTTCCAAATGGAGATAACTCCTCCCCCCACACCCTATTCTTCTGGAGTGAGTGGGGCCGACCATTCCCTGCTTCAGAGATGTAAATGTGACCCAGATCTTGCCAGTCAGAGCACTCTGAGCCCTGTCCATGGTAATAGGCTCAGAGATCCACAGGGCACTGGCTGGACGTCATGTGCATGTCATAATGAGGAGTCTGGCCACAGCCATCAGGAAGGCAGCACTCCCTGGTCACCACAAGTGCTGGGCTGTGAGGATGGCCAGAGCCACCTTTGCATCCTTGGGGGAGAAGCCAGAGCTGACCCATAGAAAGATCATCTTATGATGTTATTGATGTCCCTGGTTCAGCCATGCCTGGAGAGAGGTGCACCCCCATAGTCCTCACTTTCCTAGCCAGTACCTTCCCATTTTGTTTTCATATCCAGGACCCCAGTGTCTGTCCGTTAAGACTGGAAGAGTCCTGGCAGTATCTGTCCCGGTCTTTATCCCTGACTAAAAATCACTCCCTGAATAGTGGTCCATAGCTGGTTTTTATAAGGCTCAGCCCCCTTATAGAAGCTCTCCCTGAAGTGCTCATGGTTTCTTCTTCCAACCCTGTTGGCACATTGTGTGTCCCTCTTCTGTGACAAGGACTGTGACCTCCTGGGAGGGTAGGTCCCAGTGCTCTGCCACTGAGCCTTGGAAGACCTGGAACTCATGAAGGTCATCCAGACTGTCTTCATCCAGACCTGGAACCTGCAGTGAAATCCAGAGGAACAGGCCCCTCCCTGGGCTGCCCTGGGGAGTGTGTGTGTGTGTGTGTGTGTGTGTGTGTGTGTGTGGAGACTGGTGTAGAAATATTCCTTATTCCTAAAGAATGAAGTGTTTGATTAATAAAACCCAGGGAAGAGGAAACATAAAAAGAGACCTGACTTTGGATATTTTTAGTGAGTTTTCACAACGAGGGCTCTGAAGGCCCTCATGTTCTGTGATGGAGCATTTGGGCTCTGGGGGCACGGTCTGTCTTAACCTTGCTATCAGCACCTCTTGGGTGCCTTCCTGGGGTCTTGGGTTTTGCACTTGTGAGTGATTGCCCACAACATTCCCTGGACCATGCTGGTCTACCTGCCAAGCAGATGCAGGGTCCTACAGCAGAGCCATTCAGATGCTTCATGTGTCCTGTGTCCTGCTTCCTCTCCAAGCAGAGAGACCAGCCTTCGTAGGAAACAGTCCTTCCCCTTCCTTGAATCTGCCCTTTTGCAAGGATCATGGGAGAAACACTCCAATTCCCTCTTTACAGTGAAGAAGCTGGGGCCAGAGTGGGAAGGGGCAGGCCCAGGGGCACATGGGGGTCAGGACCACAGGCCAGGCCTCAGGCTTCAGCCATGGCCAAACCTAGGAAGCTGATTTGGGACCTGATGCTGAGTTCCCCTTCCTGGCCCCACCTGGCCCACTCTGGGGCACAGTGGGGACCCTGAGGAGGGGTGTTTACAGCCCTGCCCGGGCATCCCCTGGCCCCTTTCCTCCTCCTCCTTCCCCTCCCCCAGGGGACACAGGTTCCCTTTTCATGTGGGAAGAAAGCTGCCCGCTTGTCTCCAGGAACAGCTGGGCCTTGTCCCCTCAGCTGTGGCTCAGCGCCTGCCGCAGGCCACACAATCCCTGCTGTGTACTGGGGAACCAGGGGCCAACGGAAGCAGCTTGGCCCCGTCCCAGGAGCCGCAGGGGGCACTGGGTCTATGAGGCTGGAGGCAGGCCTGGGGGAGCCTGGAGGCAGGCCCGGGGGAGCCTGGATCTCCAGGGCATCTGCCTTCTCCCACAGCCCCACCTAGGGGACCTGCATGGGCAGAGGGGGAGGCTCTGGGCCTCCTGAAAGGGATGCTGAAGGCCTGTTCCTTTCTCACTGGCCTCCTTGCTCTCAAGGGATGTAAGCAGCCTATGAAAGCAGCTATGGATTTGCTCCCCTTTCTGTCGCCTCCTCTGAGCTCAAGGCCCCCAGTGGGCTGGGAGCTCCTCCGCAGGGCAGAAAGGAGAACAGTGAGAAACAGCTGAGTCAGGGGCAGGTTCCCAGCCTGGGCCTCAGGGGTGGCATTTATTTCTGCCCACTCCACCCTCAGCTCCAAGGGGCTGGGCAGCCCCTCACACTGTGCAGTAGTCAAGGACAGAAGCTTTCATATTTCCCGCCACCCTGCCTGCCACATCTCCCTCTGCAATGTGGGGCTCCTTGGGCGGCCCCAGCTCCGACCACAGCTTCCCCACTACTAACCATAGCCTCATGGATGGAGGGTTTGTCTCAGGACGCACTTTGCTCTTATACCAAGTGCTCTGCAAGCACCACCTCACTCACATCAAGGGGAGGCATGTGCTATATGGTCCTCCTTTTGCAGGTGCAGAAACCAAGAGTCAGGATGGTCAGGGAGCTTGCCCAAGGCCACACAGCTGGCCAACCTAGATCTTTCTCCATCCAAAGCCTGTGCTCAGAACCAACAGGCTCCATGGCTTCTCTAGTGCTTTGACTCTGGCTGCTGTTTCTTTTGCTTGGAAAACTGTTCTTTCTTCAGATGACAACCATTTATTGAGTTCTTACTCTGCACTTGTTCATGGTCTTACATTCTAGAAGGCGAGTCAGATAACAAACACGTGACTAAGAAAGAAGAGAAATAGAGCAGGCAGTGCTCACTGCTCTGCAAAGTATTTAAAAAGAGGGGCATGCCTCGCATGACAGGGTGTGCCCTTCAGCAGGGCAGTCAGTGAAGGCTGCTCCAAGGACCAGGGATTTGGAGGACAGATGGGGACAAGCCATGTAGAAGCTAGAGAAAAATCATGCTGTGCAGAGAGAAGAGCTGGCAAAGGCCCTGGGGTGGGGGAGGGTGTGGAGTGTCAGAGCAATGGCGGGTGTGCTGTGGGTCTGGAGCTGCAAGAACGGGCATGGAAGGTGGCACATGAACACTCCCAGGAATGAGGGAGAGCCGCCATGTGGCTCATGTCACTAGACTCTACTGTCCTTTCTGGGAGTTGGGTCCATCACGAGCCCCTTGCTATCCAGGTATCCAAGTGGGAGATGAGTCCCGACAGTAGGTAGACATCTCTACTCAGGTAGTCGAGGGACTGACATAGGAAGAAGAATTGACATGAACTATATGGCCTCTGAGAGTAGAATCCATCCTCCTGTGGGAGATGGGTTTTAGGTGTGTTTAGCAGTCACAGATATTCAGGGGTTAGAAGAGTCACCCTGAGGGGTCGTGAGCAGCCTGTCACTGGTGGAGTCCCAGGGGAGCTCTGCTTGGAGTTGGAGTCTGGTGGAACAGCCAGCCCTTGGTGGTGGAGCTGGGGTCTTGAGTACCAAAGGGGTGCGACTAGCCCATACAGGGGTCTTCCTTAGAAATCTTTGTAGTGCTGAGTGTGGGAGGACGTCGATACTGGAGAGGCGGTGCATGCTCCCTCTGGCCGCTGGCCTTCGGGTGGCTTGGGTCAGACTGCAGACTTCTCTCTGAGCTCTGGGCTGGAATGTGCCTGGTGCTTGATAAATTTTGTCACTTGATTGATTTCATCCTGGCCCCGGAGGGAAGTGAAGGAAAGATTTCTTGATTTGAGAAGACCAAATTAGGAACAGATGTCTTTTCTAGCTATTAATAGGCGGTTGGGGAACAATGGGGCTTATTTTTAAAGGAGCCCACAGCGTGCCGGTTGCTGCTGTCCATTTGAATGTTTTGTGTTGGAGCGATTCATAATTGTGGCAGTGGAGAGTCATTTGCGGGGAATGACAGATTTCCCCCCACCCCCTGATACTCGATTCAGGTCATGAGCCAGAGGGTCTAAATTTAAGTTCTTCCCCAAACTGTTCTCCCCAGTAAGGGCCCAGAACACCGCATGGTTCTGATAAATGGGCACAGCACAGAATGGTTTTCCAGAGGAGGGGGGCGGGAGGCACAAGACGTGTACCGGTTGGCCCGACTCACCTTTTTATTCTTCAGTAGAGAAGTCTGGGGTTTGGCTTCAGGCAAATGAATATAAACCACCATGGAAGCTATTAGTAGCATTATTCACACAATCACAATTGTTGAAAATTAAAATTGTCCATTACTCTGTGTGCGCGTGCTTTCTCTGCCGATTGCAATTTCAAAACTAACATCACTTAGCTCATTGAAAATAATACTAGTGAGGAAAATGGTTTTTCTTTTTTTAAAAAATTCCTTAATATATTTTGCTGTAATGTATTCCTGTGAAGAAAGTAAAGTTAATTATGATGCAGACAGTAGAATTATCTGACTTGATTTAACACGGCAGATTGAGTCTGTGTCCCGGTTCTGTGGCAGACACAGACCCGGGAGGGGGATTGTACTCTGGGGCGGTGCTACTTCTTAGGCACGAAGCTTCATGCGCTCACAGGGGGGCAGGAGAGTGTCTGGCGGGAGACACCCAGCACCCCTTGGTGGCTTCTGGTCATTTCTGAATGAGGCTTGGGCTTGTCCATTGGGACCAAGCCCTGCTGGGGGTCCTCTTTCTCTGGTCACTTGGGGCTGCTCACCGCCCCATGGAAGTACCTGCTCGGAGAGTGTAGCAACTGCCATTGGTGTGCCTGTGTCCCCAGGTCACTCACTGTGGCCCCACACCAGCAGCATCTTACTGTTTGTAACTGCAACTCTGCCTGTGTGTCCCTCTGGCCATGGAACATGTGCTGCTACACATCTGGGAGCCAACACCCCAGGAGCAGCTTTCAGCAGTGATGTCTACACCTTTCCACCTTTTGGGTGGGGCAACTCTGAGGTCTGCAGTGCCCCAGGGGTGCCCGCGGGTCGCTCCTAGCAATAACCTGCTTACTGCCACATCCTACACTGTTCCTTCCCAGTCCCCTAATAGAACTCCTGGAGCTTAAAGTCTATCTCAGCGTCTGCTCCCTGGGGTGGTCAGAGTAGCAGAGAGGATGCAGGATGGCTCAAAGGGCAAGGTCAGGGGGCCTGACTAGGGCCTGGCTGCAGCACACCCTGCTTCTGCTTGACTGTGCTCCAAGACTTGGCAGTGCCCGCTGACCGATGCACCGATGACCTGCAGGCTTCTTCTGCTGCCCCCACTCATCATGGCGCACTGCTCTAGCTGCCAGTTTCATAAGCTGAAGCCTTACCTTCAGGATATGGGGTCCTTAAGAGGTAATAAGGCTAACTGAGGTGTTAAGAGTGGAGTCCTAATCTGATGGGACTGGTGTCCTTATAAGAAGAGGAAGACCAATCTTCCCTGCCCCCATCCCCATGCACAGAATAAAGGCCATGTGAGCACACGGAGA